GGGAGGTTTGGAGAAGCTCTAGAGAGATTTTGACAAATTTTCCTCATAGGGGGGTGCTGGGGAATTATAGTTGAGGCCAATATGGAGGCCTCAGGCTCTCATCAGCATGTGCCAATGAGCTGAGGTGGAGTATTAAGTAGTGTTATTGACTAATAAAGCCTAGCCACATAGGTTGAGTGTAATTTAGGGTCAAGCCATGGTGGCTGATCCCGATCTTATATGACAGTACGATGTATGTGATTATATTCTTAATTTTTCCTTACTTATATTTCTTACTTTGTAACGGCTCCAAAAACTTGACATCAAAACAAATAAGAATGCAACTATTATATTTAAATATGGGATACTACGCAAGTATACGTATCGTTATCAAGTAATATAGGACTTTTTGATTAAGTCCCGAATATTGAAGCCACAGGGAGAAATACAGTATGTAACTAAATCAGAAGAAATTAGATAATAAATCCTACTTTACAAAATATTATTACTCAAACTATAGATGCCATAATAGTAATAAAAGTTTGATTTTTTTGGTAATATTTTGATAATTGAAATTAAAGTAAACAACTAACAAAATTTAACTAATAATTTTTAAGATAAAGGAAATATAAATAAAATATTTTTTTCCTTATCATGAATCAGTAAAAAGTATAGGAATTTTTTTGTGTAAGTATTCAAATTGTCTTGTGCCAAATAGGAGCAATAGTATTTTTTACCCTTAATAGAGAAGTTATGAAGAACATTGGCTAATTTAAAGTTAGAATAGTCTTGAAGACGGGGTAGGTAGGGAATATACTAACTCTTACTCTAGAGTTCCCTCTTCTCCCTCCACTTGAAGGCTAACATCTCGTATCAAAACCTAAAACTATAAACTAGATTGGGGGCTTTAGCCTGTCACTCTAAAGTCCTCAAATTCTGCACCCTTCAAAGTTATTTCCCTATTTATTTGGACTCAACCATAAGAATTACATTCTCATCGATACAATCTCATGTGATACTTACCATTACTTGACTGAGACAATATCATTGCGGATCTTTCTTATTCTCACAACAAATATTAACATCTTAATTGGCCAAATCAAGAAGTAAATGAAGTAAAATGTTTAAAATCATTACAACTTATTCCAACATTTATAGATTAATACTACGCACAACTTCCATCCAACACTTAATCACTTATCATTTTAAGGAAGAAAATAAAGAAAACTACTCAGAATTCATGGAGAAAAGATAACCACACTTAAGTTTGAAAGCAGAAACATGTAAATAAACAAGAATTCTAAATTAAAACCAAATGTAGTCACAAAATTAAAAACATTTCTCATATCCTCTCCACCAAACTCTTAAAGTTCCTTTGGATCTTTTCTCTTCCTTTCCCTTAAAATACTCTCTTCTCACACATTAAAACTCCTCTCTTCTTCTCTCTAAAAATATATCTAATTAATCTAAGAGAGAGAGAGGTGTCGGTGGTTAAAGTTCTGAGAGTTTCTCTAGGGGCATTGGAAAGAGTAGGTCTCCCTTCAATCCAATCCAAGTCTTCATTTATAATTTTCTAAAAAGGTGTCTTGGTGTCTCTTCAAATTGTGTCCACATTTAATGATTCTTCCAGGAGTTGTCTCCTTTCAAAAGTCAATTGGATGTTATTTAGTGTCCATTAACCATTTCCCATGTTTTCACCAAGAGTTGTTTCAAACACCTCTTCAAAAATTCATCCAAATTCATTGAATCACCAAGTAACTACCTCTAGCGCTTGAGCACAAGGTACTTAGGCCTTAGGCCTGGCATTCTCGGTTTTACTAGCGCTTAAGCATCAGTTCTGGGCACTTAAGCACCAATATTCTTTACACATCTTCTTCCTTTTTGCTCCAAATTTGATACTTTTTCACTCCTTTCACCATTTTTCATCCATTTGATAGTACCTGAAAAAAAAACACATAATATCTTCCATTAAAGTGCAATATCTCAAATATAGGTATAAAAATTATGTACATAAACATTATATATTTTAGGTGTATCAAAATCCCTCAAACTTAAAATATTATTTGTCCTCAAATGACACTCCAATCTTTCATAACCAAAATAAGTAGATTATATAAATGAGTTTGTTTAGGATATTCTAATATTTTGAGTTAGAAATATAGTAGTCCAATTTAGAAAAAAATATTAGTAGATGAGACTAACTTAAGAGTTTTAAAATTTTTAATGTAAAGAAGTTTGAAAATATGAGTTTCTATCTGGCTTAGAAATATTTGAAAATTCTTCAAATATAGAGTTTAAGCATTATGTCTTCTTCACTTAAAAATTTTTATTAAAAATAATTATACCAAATATATTATATCCTTAAACTAAGATTTTCTCAAGTCTAATACTTTTAAAAAGATTAGATGTTGAACCAATTTTTTATTAGACACTAATCCTCATTCTTATCCTCCCTTTTCCAACTTTATTTTTCTTTTTATTTTTATTTTTTGTTTTCATTTTCTTTTTCTTTTTCTTTTTTTTTCTTTTTTTTTCTTCTTCAGGTGAGGATTACTATATCTGGATAGGTTTTAAATGATTTTGAATTCAACTCCTCCTTTCAAGAATTTCTACCCCCTAATTATACAAGTATAAGAACTAAAAACATGAGTGAAAATTAATTTATCAAATTTTAACTTATTTTAACATATAAAGATTCATTAGAATTCTATGCAGTGGAGTATAATATAAAAGCAAGTTACGTATCAAATAAAAAGTGGTTTGCAAGTGTAACACGTATCAAACCTAGTTTAGTGCAATCAAAAGAAAAGAAAAACAAAATCCTAAATCTAGCAGTGTTAATAGAAAATAGAAGCAACATGAAGCGGGAGTTAAAATTCTTAGATTTCTTCAAGAATGTTGAGGATCGTGCCTTTGTGATTCAGATGTAGTGTCTAACTATATATTTCTAATAGTTTCTCTTACGTGATTGTTGTTAACCAGGGATGATGTTTCTTCTTATGCCTATGTTTAGGTCAGAAGAATAATTCTAAACCCATGACGTTAAGTTTTGCTCAACCTTGTCGTGTTTCCCATTGTTTCTCTGATCCCCTTTCTTGATTGCAAACCCCAATTAAAATATGCATATCCTAAAAGGATTTTGAATTTAACCCAATCATTCCACTACGCAACAAGTAGAAGTTGTAGATCACGATCAGTTTTAACGTCCTAACGGCCAAATTAGGAGAAAATGAAGGTCAAAAGGTTAACCAAGAGCATTGACATTAAAAGTACGAAAAATGTATCAAGAGAAAGATGCAAAAAAAGCATAATAAAAAAGCTATCCAAAAATCACAGAAGCAGAAAAAAAGAAATTTAGCTACTCATATCAAGAGAGAAAATCATATAAAAATCCATGAATAACAAGCCTACAAGAATCTTTATAAAATAAAAACAATTACTCACCGGTTTGTAAATCTTCCCTCTTGCAATGTAAGCAAAGAACTCACTCTCATAAAATCTATCAAACTAGCAAAGAAAATAAAAAAAACAAAAAAAAAGGTTTTGTCTGTTCCCCCGAGGAGAACAACAGAGCACTTTCAAGCCTCTCCAAACCCTAGCCTCCAGCCTTTGAAAAATCTCCCCAATTCCCTTCAGTTCGAGCCCTGACTTGCTTGTATAACCCCTATTCAAATTCTGTCCAAATTCAATCAAATCAAGCCAAATCAAATCTTTCCATTCACAACGATATACGATAGCACACCAAGGGGTGATCCGCAAACTTAATGAACGGACGTGACCACACTTATTCTCTAGCATAATCACGCCATACACCTAAAGTGGTCACGCAAATAATAGGCATGTGTATGGCAAGTTGAAGAAAGTCGCAATTCGCTGTGTTAGTCCGATTTGTATGCTAATCCTTCTAAAAATTGTAAAACAAATAACCAACCTTCAAAAAATGTAGAATCATAACATAAAGGAAATAAGTTGCATGAATTAATGTCTGAAAAATATGAAAAGTGACGCATGTCACGTGGATGAGGAATTTTGTTTGATTGTCCGTTCAGGATTTGTCCTAGCAATCCTTTGGGAGGATAGTTGATTCCTCCTATCAGGTAGTTATATTTCTCTCAGCCAACACTAAATATGTACCCTCAAACTATTCCTAATGGGTCCCAACCTGCCACCTCACCTTATCTAACAACAGTTGGATTTATAATTTTTTTATTTACAGAAATTTATTATTTGCAAAACTAGCAACAAGATAATTTTCTAAAATTTTAATATTTGAGAGATTGAAAATGGGTGAGATATGGTGACATTTGTAAATAGCCCTTCGTTTATAATCTTTTGATTTATTTTTAATTCAGCATTGTATATTTAAAAGTTAATGAAATCCATTTTTAAATGTCTAATCTTCAATAAATAATATTCCTACATTAAGTGTTCTGAATGAAGTGCATGTAAAGAATATCTTTAATCTTCTATAAACAACAAAATACATAAATAATGAAACAGAAAAAATTGAATAATAAGTATTGTGTTATAAGTGATTCACCTAATTAAGGAATAGCAGTTATGTATCTGATTAAGTATTCGGGGGTTTGAAGCTACTCTAATATTGACATAAAAACTCTAGTTCATAAACATAACAGTATAGGTATAACATAAAAATAAATAAACAAATTACTTTTAATTTTTTAATTGTTTTTACATTTTCATCGGTAGCCCTCACAGCCCTCGAAATATTGATTACAATCCACTGCCACCTCATCACCCATATCCCGCCGGCATCATCATACACTCATGTACACGCAATAAATAACAACAAATTATACTTTAAGAAAACATTTATATTTATTCTCTATATAAAATATATAAATATTATATATATATATATATATATATATATATATATATATTTATGTGATATTTAAAATTGAGTGGCATGCATGTAAATATGAATGTCTACACGATAGATAAGTAAATACATAAGAATTGTGACTTACTGAACAAGTAAAGCATTTGAATAGAAAAAAGCATGCAAAGCAAAAGCCCATTTCTAAAATTAATGTTTACATCTAACTATACTCCTGTATATATGTATATTTAAAAAAGAGTCTGCAGTTGTATAGCTCATAATCTATAAACATGAACATAAATAAAACACCACTAGAATCTAATATATTAACCATGAACAAAAGAAAACATCATGAAATCTGTCAGCAAACAGGAAGCAAATTACCGACCCGTTCGATCACTCCGATTTACTACTGCCTTCCCCGCTTTGAGCTGCAACTGGGACATTTGTACTGCTTTATGCTCTCAGCTTTCGCCGGTGTGATCTTTACACACTTACCGTGAAACCACCTCTCGCATACATCGCAGCCGATCCAGAATTCGCTCGGGCTGTAGTTGCCACCACAGGCTCCACAAAGGGTTTCGCTGTGCTCATCTTCATCTTCGCCGTAGCCCTCGTCGGCAAGCTTCGCATTGTTTTTAATCTGCCCGTCGCTTGAACGCTAAGGAATGAAGACGAAATGTTAAATGTCAAGCAATGAAAATGGGCAATATATTGGCGACTGCATCCCAGCCGCGCAATTCAGTTTGGATAGTTGGATCCGAGTGATTTACTCTAAAATAATTGAGAGGATATCATTGTTGGAAAATTTTGAAGGGTGGAATTACCTTTGTTGATTGCTTTGATTTTCCTCCATTATCAGACTTCTCCCTTCCTGCTTTCCTCTCTGTGACCACCTCAAAAACAGTGGGTAAATCGTTGATCATGCTGAACAATCGCTTCCTGTCAAACAATTAGAACGGTAGAAGATTGGAGTAAGAAACTAACAGACGAGGTTCATGATACTACAACAGAGACATACAGCCAATTATAAAGGGAATAAAAAAGCAGAAATAAAGGTGAAATGAGAATAGTTTAAAGCATGAAAAAAAGATTGACCTTTGCCACGTTGAATTGCATAAGCGGGCACAATGGGGTCAAGCAAACTATCAGAAGAAATTATTGGTGCATTTACATGCATACCACCCAGTTCTTATGTATTTACAAATCTAACACCTAAATTATACCTTCTACATTTATAACATCAAAATATTTCGTATCACATTAAAAATACAGCAATTTTGTCTTCTAAAAAGGTGATGCTCCTTTTCATGCATAGGGAAGGTGGTATATACGTAAAAATTAACATTTAGATGTTAGATATGTAAATACATAAGAATTGAATGTTATTTATGTAAACCTTCCGCGTTTATTTTGTGATATAGTAAATTTTGAAGAACAGGGAGTCACACTTAGGCCCACTATGACGCGAGAAATCTGCTGAAAATATTTGTCCGGAAGAAAGTGGATGAAAATGAGTGCGGTCCAGTTTTTGAAAATATCTTCATGAAGATGGTATCTGAGCCCCGCTCATAATTATTGAATTTTGTCCCCATGCATGCCTTTTTTTTTTTTTTTTTGAAAAAAATAACAATGAAAAGACATAAAATTGAAACAAAAAAATGGATCAACTGTTTCGATAATTGCCATAAAATTAAATTAAATTAATGTGAACAAGAGTAAAAATGAACCTTATTGCTGTTAAAAAAAAAAAACACGAATTACGATAATAAAATTTAAATAAAAAAATCATGCAAAACAAACAGCTCAAAAACCAACTTCAGTGAAACTTGTGAAACTCGCTCCAAACACTTGAATCAAAAAAACTTAATTTTAAAACAAAGTACCTTTGTGTTTCTGCTTCAAGTTTATTTTATTTGGCTATTATATGGTAATTTTCAATAAGAATCCTTATTACCGCATCCTTTGGCTGCACAGAAACTAAATCCCATACTAGTATTGCAATTTGGAACAGATTTGGATCTTCAAGTACAAGAAAAAAAAAGGTCGAGAAAAAATGAAGCTTACGAACTCAAGGGTTTGTTTTCTTACTCGATTCTAGCAGTAGAAACATTGGTTAGTTCACACCATATTTCTACTGCTAGAATCGCGTAAGATATATAAGTTTCATTATCTTCAAAAAATTACTTGAATTAAAAAATGGTGAACCAAAGTTTCATGACCTTAAAAAAATTTAAAAAATAGTGAAGCAACCAATGTTATTAAGCTTAAACTCACATAACCTACATATAAGCGCTCAATTACTAGCAGTAGAAATATAAATCCAATATTTTTAAAATAAGACTATCCAAACTAGTTATATTTATGCTTAGAATCAAGCTCTTTAGAAAATTGTAACCAATTTAAATATCGTGATCTATTATACAAAAAAATGTGATATGAATGACATGAAACCTTACAAGGAAAATTTTACATAAATACAATAGCATACTATATTGCATATTGTTGAATCTGAATTTATCCGGGAGACACACCCAAGGAACAGAGCGTAGGATCCAAGGGAGAAGGAGAAAGAGGGAGAGAGAGGGAGAGGAGTTCACAGCAACTTGTCTCTCTGGGGAAAACAAGGGCATTCTCGGGCTCTTGCGGCCCATTTTATATCATTGACGATTTTGATTACAAAGAAGTGCGTGACCACTTAAAGAAAGAAAAAAACCCACCCCTAACAAAGGAATGATCTTCCTATTTATAAGAGATGAGAGGAAAGTATGTAAATTTGCAAGTTTAACTCTGCTTTGGAGAGTGTCGTATAGGGTATTCTAGTCTTTTATGATTGAGTTTATCGCTCAGTAGTCACCAGATCAGTCAACTAAAACGGCTTTCGAACTGCTCCCACTCGGGATGGCATATTAGCTATTGATCAGGATGATCGGTCTATTTTGATTGGGATTGTTGGTCGGCTCTTGATCGATTATTGACTTTTGATGTCATTTGGGGGAGCTTCTAGAGAGCTGCTGGTTATGTTAGTATGGTTAGGGCCTTGGAGATAGATTTTAGTCCTGTTGTTTTCCTCATGGTAGTTGGCATGGATGTCTCATCACATGAAGGGCTCTAGACTTAGTCATTTTTATCTTTTGAAACTTGATGGATTTTAGGTCTTGAAGGCTCTTGGCTCAGTAGACTAATGGGTCATCAAAAGGACCTATCATTGAGACAGTGTGCAAGTCAACATTTAAGGCAATGATAAAACATATGTTTATTTGAAACGCAATTATTGTGAAACGAAAGTTAAAAGAAGGTGTCACAAGCAGTGTTATCAAAGCGCAAAGCGAATGAGATACACAAGACTTTATTCTGTTTCAAAGCGTGAAGCGCAGAGTGAAACAACGCTTTTATTAACTAAAACACTAATAGGTTACATAAAACTATCAATGTATAAATATATTCATTAACAATTATAAAATATATAATATGACTTAAAAATCATATAAATAATAATAAATGTGTTACAATACTTAATTTGAAGCAAAAATATTTAGGGCGAAACTACAAATTAAAATTTTGAAGAATATCTAATAGTTTACTGTAATAATTAAAAACTTAAATATTGCAAAAAAAATCTACAAATTTACTTGGGCACTTTGAAGCGTGCTTTAGCGAAGCGAAGCAGTCTTTACGTGTTTTATTTCGCTTTGCTAGTGAAGCACGCATTTAAAAGCATTATCAACAAGAGAGAACATCTCTAATTCACATAAAAATATTGTTGTATTGTTGAAGTACCAGAAGTAGCGAACGAAGAGAATTGATCATATATGAATACATCGACAATGTCAAAGCATCTTGCACCACGATAACTTATTGATAGATTTGAAGACAAATCTTTTATGGATAGTGCCAAAAACTCGCTTGCAGCTAATGTCTAATAGAGGTACAAGAGCACACCAAGATCACTATATGATAAATGCCAAGGACGATATAGGTTAAGGAGAAATAGGGGCAACAATAGCACATAAGATGTCTTATTTCGCTTTGCTAGTGAAGCACGCATTTAAAAGCATTATCAACAAGAGAGAACATCTCTAATTCACATAAAAATATTGTTGTATTGTTGAAGTACCAGAAGTAGCGAACGAAGAGAATTGATCATATATGAATACATCGACAATGTCAAAGCATCTTGCACCACGATAACTTATTGATAGATTTGAAGACAAATCTTTTATGGGAGTAAGCATAGTGCCAAAAACTCGCTTGCAGCTAATATTTAATAGAGGTACAAGAGCACACCAAGATCACTATGTTAAGGAGAAATAGGGGCAACAATAGCTCATAAGATGTTTCAAAAGCATATTAGAGGAACGCAAACATGTATGCATAGATATTGAGTTTTTTATGAGAATGACATTTCATTCAATATGGCCCCCCCAACTTCAATATGATTCGTGCAATAGATGCTTATAGCAGAGCCTTGAAAACTCAGTCCATGTATGATTTGAGGGCATGAGTGTTGAAGGATGAACAGAGTAATGCATAGAAAGACATGATGGAGAATAAAAAAACTAGAACTCAAATTGGAGTGACGGTCGTGTATGATCAGTGGTCGGACATAAAGAATAGAAATTCAAGTAATAATTTTGCAAATAATCCCGATGGCACACTGTTTATGAAATGTGTAGAAGCATCTGATCAAAATAAGGATACAGAGTATATTTTTGAAATGCTTAATAGAGTAAGAGGAGATTGAAGAGCATTTAGTGGTCCAGTTTGTGACAAACAATGGTAGTGTTTATAAGGCAGCTGAAAGTAAGTTGATGGAGGAGAAAAAGCATCAATACTAAGCACACAGTGTTGTACACTTTATAGATCCGATTTCAGAAAGACCTAGTGGCTTGCTACAGAGTTTTCACCAAAGCAAATAATATTAATAAATTTATTTACAACTATTTTTGGGTATTGTTAGTTATGAAAATTTTATTTAATAAAGAATGCATATGCCCTACTGCAACAAAAATTGCTATAGCCTTTTTTACTCTAGAGAACATGTTATAAGTTGGGCAACCATTAGAGGTAAAATTCAAATTACACTCAATGGCTTAGTCATGCATGGGTAAATAAAGCTAAGGAAATAGAAGTCAAAAAAATTGTTATAAATAAAAAATTTTGATCTAGAGCTGCATGCAATAACAAATTCAAGACCAATGAATCAAGTTTTGGGGATGATAGACAAAGACATACAAAAGGTCACCAAGTTCACTAAATGATAAATGTGAATGATGATACGATTTATGGAGAAATAGGTGCAACAATAGCTCAAAATATGTCTCAAAAGCATATTAGCCACACGCAAACGCATATGCATGGATATTGAGTTTTTTATGAGAATGACATTCCACTTAGTATGGCAACATCCCCCTTTTACTTCAATATGATTCATTCAATAGATTATTATAGCAAAACCTTGAAAACCCAGTCCATGTATGATTTGAGGGCATGAGTCTCGAAGGATGAACTGAGTAATATAGAGAAAGAAAGCGGAGAATAAAAAGATTAGGGCTCAAATTGGAGTGGCGGTCATGTCTGATGAGTGGTCACACAAAAAATAGAAATTGAATGTTATGCATGTATATAATCCCGATGGCACAATTTTATGAAATTTGTAAAAGCATTTGATCAAAATAGGGGATACAAAGTACATTTTTTACTACTTAATAAAGTATGAGACTGAAGAGCATTTAATGCTCCAATTTGTGAAGAATAATAGTAGTGTTTATAAGGCCGATGTGAATAAGTTGGGGAGCATCAATACTAAGCACACTGCGTTCCACACATTATAGATCTAATTTTTAAAAAAAAAAAAACTGGTAACTTGCCTCAGAATAAAAATGTTTTCACCAAAGCAAAAAAGATTAATAAATTTATTTACAACTATTATTGGGTATTGT